CACACCCTGTTTGGACCCACTTCAGATTTTATTTGCAAATTTACTACCTTGCTCATCTCTAGTTTTGCTCATTTTTGGTGTACATGAATCGGGATACTACTGTATGTACAAGCAATATGTACAAGCATACCTGTTTAATGGCCCGGGAGCTAAAGGTTAACGAATATTGAGTTATATTTCGGAAAAAAGTTTTTTGGTTTAACAGAAAAAATGATAACTTGCAGCGAAAAAGTATGGCTTACTTTTCAATCACTTTTACTGTTATATTACAATTGAATGTAATTTCAATGAAAATACATATTCACTGTAAGTATGTGTGAAAGTAAGTGAAGACGAGAGTGGATGAGGGATAGAAAGATACAAACTATGGTTTAGTGAGAGTAGGAGAGAGAGAGAGAGAGAGAGAGACGAGTGAGAGAGACGAGTGAGGGCTGAGATTGAGATCAGAAATATGAGATATTGAGAGATGAAGTTATAGATAAGAGAAATGACTTTTTCAACAAAGAATACCAAAAATTATTGATTTGAAATAATATATGTATAATATTTTGTTTTTGTTTAACAATAGATATCAGTCTGAGAGAGAAAAGAGAGAAAGAGAAAGCAGTGAACGATTTGAATATAAATACCAAAAATGCTCTCATAGTGTACACAATAGGGCAATAGTTTGATTCACTCATCTATAGTGTACTTTACTTTTTTCCATTTGATTATTAGACATGACATCCAAACTGATCTCAGTCTCACTCACTCTCTCCCCTCCTGTCCTGTTGTTCACTATCTCTGCGACAGAATAAGTATTTCCACACATACTGTACATACAGTCCACATATAATATACAATATTATTCACTATATTATTGATTAGCCAATGGATTCTTCGCTGAAGCGAATCGAAACTTAAAGCCCAAAGAATACGATATTTATATATAGAAAAAGGGATCAAAAAATAGTAAAAATATTCTCATCTTTTCTCTCACTTCTACCAAAAGACTTGAGCTCTCAGTTTATAGTATGAAATGTTGGGACCGAAACACTTGACTGCATCCCAACAATCAAACGGCAAAACTTGGAAATTCACTCCACTTTGTAGTCCTTTTGATATACAATTTTTCCCTACATCTCTACTCATCTCTCTCTCTCGTCAAATGTTTATCTCTTGTATTCATTGCTATTCATTGCCGATGTATAGACACAGTGAGAGCCCCGGGGCTCACATTTTCCTAAAGGAAATCGTATATAAATCAGTGAACTCTCTCTCCTAACTCTCATCTCTCAATGCATACAAGAAATTATAGTTTAAGAAAAAATAAATTATTTAACCATTTATTAGAGTATGAAAAATGTTTTCCAGTAGACTTTGGAGTCGATTACAGTGTTATGTATTTTAGTTATTTTTTGTGCTCAACTTTATTATAGTTACACAATATATTTCTAATACAAAATATGTGTTTCGTTGTATAGTATCTAAAATATTAAGGCTTTTCAATACCCGTTTGCTTATTATATATTATATATTTTTTAGTTTAAATCAACTTTTTTTTACTGCCAATCAATTATAGTTTATATTTTATTATTTTCATCTAAAAAACAGTGCAAAAAATATTATTGGATTTTTTCAGTCTCTTTTGGTATTGCCTTAAAATTAAGTACTGAAAGGCAGGAAAAAAACAAAAAATTCAATTTAACTCATTTTGTGGATAAAAAATATTAAAAATAGTAATAACAAAGAAAAAAGTTAACAAGATTAAAAAAACTAAATAACTATACATTTTGTTTTGTATCCGAAACTAGGAGTTTTATTATTAAAAGGGAAAATTAGTTTTATTTATGTTAACTGTTATGTCAGCGGATACTTGATTTGACATTTAATTAATTTATACGTATTATTAAAAATTTAAAACTATAATTAGAGTGTAATTATAAAGTTTATACATTTTATTTGTGTTGATTTATATCTCGTTAGACAGAATGAAAGACATAAATTAAGTTATAATTTTTTAAAACCATTTAATGCTTTCATTTGTAATTAATAAATGGATATAAATTGAAATTACTTCTGACATTTCTCTCTCTCTCTCTCTCTCTCTCTCTCTCCTCAATTGATAACAACACTGGCCATAGAAATGGGCTTAAAATATACAGCTATTGGTGGCCAAAGTGTTTGGTGTTGTGTACAGACCTAACGGTTGAGTTAATGCAGAAATTTCTTGTTATCATAAATTAATTTGTTTCAAAGCGGAGAATGACTGGTATTTAAGGCTATAAATGAATTAAACGGTTCACCGAATGCTCGGATAAATTAATTGCCAAAAATGTTGTATATTTTATAACATCAATGACTGAAAAGTAAATTTTATTTTTATTTATTTATACGTGTGTTGTGTTTGGCCAGACATTTGCCCAAAACATTTTCACATTCAATGTGTTATTTCAATGCATTTTAATCGAGTTTAACAATAGTTATATAAATTCTATTATAATCCTATTTTTAAAAGTATTATAAATAAACTTTTAAACACAGTTTTCACTATATCTTGGGTCTCTCTCTCTCTCTCTCTCTCTCTCTCTCTCTCTCGTATATAAATAAACAGCAAAATGTATTATCGATTTTGAAATTTTTCAATTTGCTCTCAATTTAAAAGCTTATAATGAGATTAGAGTTTGTTTTTTTCGCAGAGAAGAGAAACAAAAATATTATATACGAAACAAACGCTAAGGTTTTTAAAAAGTTATTTTGCATTCACTCTCACTATCAGTGATTCGCTTGAATTTGCACACAAAAGAAGAGCCAATATTTTTATGCTATTTTTGTATGAATATATATTTTTTAGGAGAGAAAACACTAATCGTAATAAATTTTTATTTATACATACATATAGTTTTTATGCATATATTTTGTTTGGCAAATAATGGCTTAAGCCATAAACTAAACTTTACTTTTCTATCAAAAATCTTTAGGTATTTATATGTAATAATAATATTCTGGTTGTGTTTCAAAGGGGGAGAAAAGGGATCGGAGTTTGCATTCATCGAAACAGAATAATGTTATATAAGGTTATAGTTATGTATAAATAATTCGCTTTGCAATACAATTCTCAATGCAATTATTAATCTTCGTTTTTCTTCATAAATAGCTTATGTCTGAGAAAAACAGTGCAGAGTATTGTGTGCTTTGTCTTCCTTTCATTCTCTCTCTCTCTCTCTCTCTCTCTCTTCAATTGATAACAACACTGGCCATAGAAATGGGCTTAAAATATACAGCTATTGGTGGCCAAAGTGTTTGGTGTTGTGTACAGACCTAACGGTTGAGTTAAAAGAGAGAGAGAGAGAGAGAGAGAGAGAGAGAGATGTTCATACAATAAATGGTTAATATCCTGCCGGACTCGATTTCATCATCGGCCATTTGTTCGTTATCTGCTCTGCACGACAGATGTTTGCCATTGTCTTCGATGGCGGGTATGAATGAAAGCGTACTTATGGTTGCGTTGCCATCATTTGACGCCGAGTCCCTCACTTCCGGCATTTTCTTCGACCCCTTATACCACGATATCTGTGGCTGAGGTCGCGAACCACTCGCCCGACACTTCACCTCAGCCCTGATGCCCGCCGACAGCGGTTTGTTGGCACTCATTATTAACACTTCCAGTGGTTTTACTGTCAGAAAAAATGGTTATCGTTATTGAAATTTATGTATTTTTTATCACAAACAATATTATCGTAAAATTAAATTAAATTGATAAGTGAATTGTGAATCTAATAATAGATTCAACGGAAACACACGTACGGCTTAACTATAAGAGTATACAGAGTTTTAACATTACATAACATTCAACTACATAAGCATATAATACGTGACATGCAATTAATTCACTCATTAATCCTTTAATCCCCTTTTCAAGAGTCAAGAATTAATGACAATAAATATATAATGGCTTTTGAATGCATTCATTCACTTGTCTAATGAAAATTACAAAAAAACAGACTTACAATTGAGCTCTAGTTTAACGACGGCTTTATAGGCGGTGTGATTGGCCGAGTAGTCGGTGTTGGACTGACTCGCCTGACAGACCAGTTCCATGAGTAGGTGCTCTCTGGCCAGACGGGGCAGAACCAGTTCGTTGCGGACAAAACTCTCCGATCCCTCCGACACTACCACTGATGTGTCGTCAATGATAACCCCTCTCCTCATCCATACCAGCGATGGTTTTGGTTTTCCTGCAAGAATTCGCCCGAGAATTACATACGAAAGCAATTTATATTAAGATTTATGTGAAAAATAAAACTTTTAATTATAACTATAATTAGGTTTTAGTGAATATTTGTTTGTTTTTGTTTCGAGATTTTCCGTTTTCAATACATGTTTATTCCGTAATTGCTTTTAAAGATTATGCACTTATTATACAAATGCAATAATAATTCAATTGCTTACAGCGTAAACAATCTATACTTTACATTAAAATTTGCAGGATTAAATTAAGTAAAACTAATACTTATCGTAATGATTCCTGTTGTTTTAATTTTCATTAATTTAAATTAGAAAAAATAAATTCTCATTTATTTTCAATTAACATAAATAATATATCATTTGTTTTAAATGGAAATTTGAAAATATTAACTATAAATAAATTTCACCAAAAAAAATACATAATATATTTATGGTCTGCAAAAATAATAAATGAATGTCAGATATATTTTGCAAAAATAAATAAATTTCATACAAAAATTTTATATTAAAATCACAAAATAGTAATCAATCACAAGAATGTAACGCAAAATGTATATCTCGTATGAGTTATAAAAAATGATTTAATTTTTTGTGTTATTTTTCTATCATATGATCAGAAGAAAAATTCGTTAAAATTAAAAATCCAATTATTTATTTAATAATATCTTTTACCAAAAAAATATATTTCATTTGCGAGAAAACACATTATTGTAAATAATTTCAAATAAAATTATTCACAAAATATTAAAATTTAAAACAAATGATCAAACATTAGGTTTTTAGTGAATATACAAAATTTAATTTTCTAAATACATATTTGAAATAATATATTGTATGCGAGTATTATATAATATATTTCACAACAAAACTTTGAGAGAGAGAGAGATAGAGAGAGAGATAGAAAATAAAGAAAATCTTGTTTCAATTTATCAAAAAGATTTTAAAATGTTTTGTACTTTCAAACGAAGCAAAACAATAACTAAAAGATATTATGCGAAAAGAAGTACAAAATTAACCATTTATTTAGAGTAAGAGTTTTCAACAAATAAATAAAATGATAAGTTTTATGCATACAATGGGGAGACCGAAGAGAGAGAGAGAGAGAGAGAGAGAGAGAGAGAGAGAATGTCAGAAGTAATTTCAATTTATATCCATTTATTAATTACAAATGAAAGCATTAAATGGTTTTAAAAAATTATAACTTAATTTATGTCTTTCATTCTGTCTAACGATATATAAATCAACACAAATAAAATGTATAAACTTTTTAATTACACTCTAATTATAGTTTTAAATTTTTAATAATACGTATAAATTAATTAAATGTCAAATCAAGTATCCGCTGACATAACAGTTAACATAAATAAAACTAATTTTCACTTTTAATAATAAAAATTCTACTTTCAAATACAAAACAAAATGTATAGTTATTTAGTCTTTTAATCTTGTTAACTTTTTTCTTTGTTATTACTATTTTTAATATTTTTTATCCACGAAATTAAATTGAATTTTTTGTTTTTTTCTGCCTTTCAGTACTTAATTTAAAGGCAATACCAAAAGAGACTGAAAAAATCCAATAATATTTTTTGCACTGTTTTTTAGATGAAAATAATAAAATATAAACTATAATTGATTGGCAGTAAAAAAAAGTTGATTTAAACTCAAAAATATATATAATAAGTAAACGGGTATTGAAAAGCCTTAATATTTTATAATACTATACAAACGAAACACATATTGTGTATTAGAAATATATTGTGTAACTATAATAAAGTTGAGCACAAAAAATAACTAAAATACATAACACTGTAATCGACTCCAAAGTCTACTGCAAAACATTTTTCATACTCTAATAAATGGTTAAATAATTTATTTTTTCTTAAACTATAATTTCTTGTATGCATTGAGAGATGAGAGTTGAGAGAGAGAGAGAGAGAGAGAGAGAGACGAGTGAGGGCTGAGATTGAGATCAGAAATATGAGATATTGAGAGATGAAGTTATAGATAAGAGAAATGACTTTTTTCAACAAGAATACCAAAAATTATTGATTTGAAATAATATATGTATAATATTTTGTTTTTGTTTAACAATAGATATGAGTCTGAGAGGGAAAAAGAGAGAAAGAGAAAGCAGTGAACGATTTGAATATAAATACCAAAAATGCTATCATAGTGTACACAATAGGGCAATAGTTTGATTCACTCATCTATAGTGTACTTTACTTTTTTCCATTTGATTATTAGACATGACATCCAAACTGATCTCAGTCTCACTCACTCTCTCCCTCCTGTCCTGTTGTTCGCTATCTCTGCGACAGAATAAGTATTTCCACACATACTGTACATACAGTCCACATATAATATACAATATTATTCACTATATTATTGATTAGCCAATGGATTCTTCGCTGAAGCGAATCGAAACTTAAA